ACTCCTCAGTCACCAACCATGATGGTATGTACTAGTTCAGTCTGGTGGCTCTGCCCGTAGCGCTGTCCTCCCCCATATATATGCCTGCGTCAGGAATTAACCTACTATCTGGGAACTGAGAGGAAAGTTCCATCAGATTTTCTGAGAGAATCCAGTCTAACCGTCAGGCCAGGTGAAAGACAATAATTATTTTTGTACTGCTAGAGGCTTGTTGACCCAGAAAATTTACGCCGTTTATTGTGAAAGGCATTTAGTATCACACTTTTAAACTAAAGCTTTATTAACCCTTTCAGTATAATTTCAATCATTGATTCTAAAAATTTTAAAATATGTACATATGTACGTATACCGGCTAACTCTCGATCGTTCATTTCAAAAATCACATCAACAAACTTGTAAAGCTTTGAGCTTTGCCATCATTCAGGGTCCTTTATAATGGAAATATATTTCAAAACTATGAATAACACTGTGTCACAAAAACAAAAAAAAAATTCAGAACGAAAGAATCGATATACTCACGAAACTAGGGCCATATATAGTAAAACTGCCTTTTTAGTTTTTCACTCTGACGTCATGATTTTTTTTTCAAAGGAAATTTTAAAGATATGATTAATTCAAAAAATTATTTAAAAAAATCAGTGCAGTTTAGAATAACAATATGGGTACCAAATGAAAGAGAAAATTCTGTTGAATTTAAAAACAATAAAGTGTTTTGGTTTACAAGGACGAATAGGTATTGAAAATACGCTTTTGATAAATTTTATCTTTTCAAGTTAATAAAGTTGCAGGACGAAATTAGATGACGTGGTCGTATGTGCATGTATTAGTCACCAAACAATACTTTTTTCAAAAATAAATATTGCAAATTTTCAAGGATATTTGAGGAACAAATTTTTAAAGGGCATTTTCCATACCCATTCGTCTTTATGCACCAAAAAATTCACTCTGTTATAATTCTACAGAATTTTTTCTTTTTTTTGATACCCTTATCTTTATACCACATTGCAATGAATTTTTAAATAATTTTTTGATTTATTTCAATCATATTTTTTAAATTCCAAAGTCCAAAAAATAATTATCAAAAATCAACTCGATTTTTTAGCTGGTTGAGACTTGCACTTTATGGGACTAAAATTGTATGGGCTAGAAAACTGCATACCCAAAAATGTTGTAAAAATTCAGATTAAAAAGTTGAAAATTTGTTAAATTTTCCAAAATTTTGTATAAGGTTTGAAACTGTGATTTATGTATGTGTATGTTTTTTTACGACCGGGCAAAGAATTTTGCTCTCAGCTACCATTTCTTAGTATTGTATATTACATAAATTTCAAAGGTTAGGGACTAGACAATAGGTAACATGAGATCTGTGCGCCTTAATAGCCGTTTGGCTGTCAGTCAAGATCCATATGTTCCGAGTTTCTCAACTTCGGTCCAAATACCGCAATTTTAGCTTAGTTATTTATTTTTTTTATTACGAAACGAATTGGCAGATCATACAAACATTTTGCAGTTAAAATGACTCATAGTGATTAAACTTTAATCTTCAAGCTTAACGTTCGAAAAGCGAATATCCACTCACACTCGCGTAGATAAATCAATATTTGTCAAAATGGCGCAAATTTTCAAGTCTGTCTAACAAGCGCCATGTTTGAATTGAAATCAAGAAATAAGCAGTTACACGCACTATACTCATTTGCGCATACTTTTTATGTATGTGTGCATGCATGTATTAGAGTGCGTAGTAAATAACAACAAATAAAAGTTGTGCAATTTGAAACGCACCACTAATTTTATGAATTCAAACACGAAATGCAACCAATCAGGTGCATTTTGGTTGTGGCAGTAGAAAAAAAAAAACAAACAAAAAAATACGAAAACTCGACTTAAAACCGGCTAAAGTGATTGTTAATGCTACCAAGAGGTCTTTTTCGTAACGATTGACAATCTGCTTTTCATTAAGCGCGTAATTGAAAATTTTATTTCATTTTAGTTTTGTACAAAACAGGTGCGACAACAAACAACTATGTAGAAATATACATACATGCAGCATGAGTATGTACATATGTATGTGTACATAAAGTACTTACGTCAGTACATAAATACTGCATATAGAGAAACGTTAAAACGGTCACGCGATAATGAATTTACGCACCGAAGAAATATGTAGATATTTTAATACAATAGATTTGCAATGTGATTTAAAAATGACGTATGCGGGTTAAACAAATTTATTTTAATAATTGCAGTGCTTTCATCTTTTAATTTTTTATAAGTTTTTTTATTAGCTCAAAATAGATTTTTGCAATGCAATTAATTATTTTAAACACCACAACATCTTAAAATATGTAGCGATAACGCGTTCGTACTAAATACATACATACATATGCCATATACACGCTTCCAACGTTAGACCAACGTTTGAGTAACTAATTGAGCCGAATATTGAGTTGTTTAAAGCTTAATAAATGCATTGCTGAATTGCCTGCCGTTTGGAATCCACAAACTGCACTCAGAAGTGTTGCATTGCACTTGTTGGCAACATGCATGTCGCCGCAACATGTTGCGACTGCATTTGCATACATTGGCGGTATGATGCGGCATTGGCTCACAACTGTGCAATTGAATTGCGGCAATTGACTGTCATGATGCCGTTTCCTGGCATAACGAATGCTGCGCATGCGCACGGTTTCAATTGACATCTGTTATTTGTATGTGTCAAAGTGGGCGAAGCGAGAGAAAAGAAAGAAGTGTAGAGCAGTTTTTTGTATTTTTTTAGCTGCTTTAATCTTTAATTCTAAAAGTGCATAGACACACGTTGAGCTGGTTTGCTCTACAATGTCGTTTATTTGCTTGCGCTATATGTATTTCATCTTGATGATGTTTTTTTTTTTTTTTTGGTTGACGAATAGTCACGCGATGGTCCATTGCTGTCGGCAACATCTGCTGCCGCGCCCAACAGCATCAATTCATTTGCATCGTCCACAACTTGTCAGTCAGTTGCGTGCAATGATGTATGCATGCAGGGCCGGATTGTAGCATGGCACGACGGTGGCCGTGGCCCAAGACCCTCACATTCGGGTGAATGAGTTGTTGGAAAAATTCTTAAAGTACAAAAAAAGTTTTGTCTTCAAAATTTTTGGTAGAATCGGTAAGAACATTTTAGCCCTTGCAAAAAAATGTTATGAACAACTTTACAAAAACTGCTCATCTATAGACCATTGTTTATGTATATACATATTTTTGATGTTTTTACAAGCATGCTCATCGCACCGATTTTAAACTAACTTTCCTATAAGTCAAAAAATCACACCGATTAAATTCCAGTCTGTGATTTGATGAAATTTTTAGCTCATCGAGCGACGAAATTTCCTTGGAACCCATAGTGCGGCAGAGGTTTAGATGGGCCTCAAGCCCTGCCAAGGGGGTTAGTGTGTCCATCCCACACTGCCAATTGGTACTAAATAAAGTGCTTGAATTTCAGGGCGCTGATCATTGAATTGATGAATTGATCCGTTGTGCTTCTGGGCACCGTGGGGTTAGGTCATTTTAACGACAGATACTCACGATAAACCTCGCAAACAGTTGCCCGCCTAAAGTTCACTTCCTAGCAGTATATTTCGGCACCCACTCCCGTTTACCATTTTAGAGCCGTTCTTAAAAACGTCTAGGAATCCACGGCTAGGTTTCATCCTCCTGCGCTATACCTCCTCCTCGATCGTTAGGCGAAAATTTCGTTCCCAATTAAAGTAGTGTGCCATAACTATAATCTGTGCTGCCTCGGTATTCCTATTTGGCCGTCAATATACCTGCGGATTCAGCAGCACAGTTTTCCGCGATTAGGTCAATGGGCGGGCACCTACAACAAATAAGTTACTGTTTGGTGGAGTTTGTTGCGGAGACATCGCATCGTACTTCTTCGAGAATAACGCCGGAAATGCTGTCACATGTTAACAAACTTTCTATGGCCTGAATTTGATGAGGTGGTCTTTGTCAATATGTAGTTTAAACGGGAAGGTGCCACTTGCCACACAGCGCATGAAATAATCGCCCTATTGCGAACATCTGGGGTCTTAATATCTCAACCTTTACGTACATAGAGTAATTATACAAACTAAGTGGAGAAGTCCTTTACAGATATTTAAGACAAGTGAAAGCTTGTTGGAATTTAAGATGACGACTTATTTTGAGTGCTTTAAAGGTTTAAGAACTGAACTGAAAGGTGGTCATATTCAAGAGTTAAGCTTGAATTGATGTCATCAGGTGTCATTGACGGCATCTGCACATGGAATTATAAATAGGTCCGTGACTGTGTGGACTTTTCGCGTTACAAAACTGATATCAATCAAGCCCATCATAAACACTGTGGTGACTCTTTCTTCTCCATCAAAATGAAGGGTGTAGAAGTGGTTGTGGGCACCAGTTCTGCGCACCTTGTTAAACGCCCAGTTGTGTTAAATTTACACTAGAATCTAGGGCCTAGACTATTGAAGAACCCATATCGGAAGTTGAAAGTTCGCGAGACTTAGGAAGACATAGACAGCTTGTTTCATTTTTGTTCACATACTAGTCGTACCAGGCACACTGTTTAGCGAGCAACGATTCAGTACTTGCGTGCTAGCAGGGAGCTGATGGTGGCTTCCGACTGACGTGAACGCACGCACGCACGCACGCACGCCGCCTTCAAAAGGGGCACAACTCAAAATTACACGTTTGTCAGAAAATGCGAAAAAGTATTTCTTAGCACATGATAATCATATGGGCAAGGGAGACTTTACCTTTGGGTTTTTTTTTTAACAAAGTATAACAAATATATGCTCCAGCTCTGTGTGTATTTTTAGCGCATAATTTCAAAAATGCCAAATTTTGAGTTGTGCCTCTATTGAACATTTGGAATGGAAACAAAATGCTTTATTAAAGCTTTGGTGAGCTTTTGATCTACATATGTATGTCTATAAATTGTACAAATATCTAGAGTTCCTACCTAATTATACATATATATTTCATACATAATCGAAACCCTCAAATATATCCAGTTTATGTTCCTGCACCAAGTCATATACATCTTTCAATTGGTTGGATAATTCACGATCAACCTCCTCGCCGCCGCGCTGCAATGTATCCTCTCGTACTTCTTCTGGGGTCGGTGGCTGTGCCGACGCCTCTTCTATTGAAATTATATTTCGATCAACTAACTGCATGAGGAAATGAGATGCGATGCTTGCGGTATAGGGAAAGAGCCGCCAGTACTCGCGGAGTATGGATTCGCGGCTGCAAAATGAAAAAGAAAAAAAAAAAACAAAAACACACAGGTATGCATTTATTTAGGTACAAATCTTGCGCGTCTTCATGACTTTTCTTACATACCTCAAAAAGTGAGGCACTTCGGCTCCCTGTGCGGTCTTTTTGAATGCGGCTATCAGTTTTTCATAATATTCATCAAATATTTGATCAAAGTGTGTGCGACGTACGGCTGCATAGGTGGACAATGAGAGGAAGGTGGCAAAATCTAGCATTGGTGAAGAAACTCGTATGGTTTGTAGATCGAACATCAACGAATCTATCGGCTCTTCGGTGCCCTGTATGAAAAGTGCTTAGAAATGTTAAATCTATTAGCTTTACTCTTTATTTACTTACATTCGACTCCTCATATTTGAAGGCTAAATTGTTGCGTAGATAGTCGCCATGGCACAATGTCACTAGTGGCTCTACGGGTGCAACCATCTTTCGTCCAAATTCTACATAGTTTTCGATAAGTCGTTGATAACGGCGCAAGAATTCCTCATCGATGTCTGGATAATACTTTTGAGCAGCCTTGACGATACGCTCAGCGCCGTATTGCGTCATCAATTTCCATACAGGATGCATTTCGTCTAATTCAAAACGTGGTTCTCTCAGATCCTTTGTTAGGCGCTCGAACTCATCCTGATTTTTGTATCTTATTGCGAAGCTGGTGCCATGGAAAGTACCAAGGTTACTTACTGCAAAAAAAGGTGTAAAATGTGAAGAAAGGAACATAGCGAATGTTTTTTGGTAGCGATATAAATAGTATGCCCAAATATTGGGTCATATGAAAAGTCTCTGCGGATTGTTGCCACTTTGCACAATTCCGTCCAACTTATGTACATATGTGACATTTTAGGATGCAAATGGACCACTTTGTATCCACTATTTAGTTTATGTGACCACTGATTACAAATCTTCAGTCTGGTTTTAAAAATCCAATATGGTGGACAAATTTTTCAAAATTGATTAAATTCGCTCGAAACTTTTTACTCGGCGGTTTTTGGGTCGGAAAATATGAATGTGAACACGAATTTCTAAAATTCGAAATGAGTTTCCAATATGGCGGGCAAATTAAAAAAAAAAATGTTTTAAATTCACTCGAAACTTGTTAGTTGCAGCTTCTTGGGGTTGTTGCGGCGATATTTGGGGAACCATTCTGAAAATTGAAAACAATTGTATGGATGTCGTAAAACCGGTAATCACTTCTCTTCATGAAAAAAAATTGCAATAGACGCACCATTCAACTTTTGATAGCTAATCGCATAAAAAAAACTGTTTTCCTGCTACAGCTAACTGACTTGCATCGACTAGCCAACTTATAAGCTTAATATTTTTTTATTAGTGAAAGTGATCAAAGAACAAAATATGAATCACAGTTATCTATTGTATTGAGAAGTAAGCCATGCCATTTTGACGCAATTCGCATGACTTTGATTTTTATATTTTGGCCCGCTAGTTTAGTTAATCCGACCTGTGTGCGATGGAATTATGAAGCTTACAGAAAAAGTTCCGGGCAAAAGAGCACAGTTAACGTATAATATACTTGATGAAAACTGATTTTCACTAAAATTTTTTATTTTTAAAAATTTACCCAAAATTCGCGGAGACTCCTCATATGACCCTGTATATTAGATAAATGCATTCTTACCAGCTACAAGTGCATGCGCCAATGATAGATTCGCCTTCTGCTTCGCTACGCGCCAGCTGTTGACCCCAAAGTCCTGTAGTACAACGGTGGCGGAATTTTTATGCAATTCTCCAAAGTAAAATCGCGGGGTATTGAAAGTGCTTGGCGCCAAGTTTTCAATTGCGGGCATAATTGTGTTGTAGGCTAAGATTTCATTGCTGAAGAGCGATCCGAATTGTACTAAATCGTATGTTTCTTGCGTTAAGTTTGGAGTTTTCTGTAAAACAAAAGCGTTCTACGTTTCAGATTTAGTTTGTAGAAGTTATTGATTTTTTATAGTCTAATCAAGAGATATGTAGCTCGTAGAAATACTCTCGGCGTTCGAAAGAAGGGGAAAGACAAGAAGAACAATATCCAAAATGACATGCCTTCTGGGGCCTTTGAAGTACTCTTACTGGTATCCTGCGTTAAAAATGAGCACAGAGTCCGCTTGAATTGCGAGCCCGGTCGGACTGGAGATCCTACCTCCGTAAGAGTTTTATAAACAAATTGCATTGCTATGGCTAAATTTTGATGATAGCACTGTAAAGACCCTAAAAATACACAAAAACGCCGAGATACGTAATTTTGGGTAGTAGGTTACGGATCTGTATACCGTTTTTTTTAGATAAGGTTATTTAGTCGTTATTTTCATTTTAAGTTTGCATTGCAAATGAAAACAATTCAAACTTTAACATGGAAAAAGTTACTCATACGCCATGTATGTATGAGTGCGGTCATGTTCAATATGGCGTATAAGTAACATTATTTCCTGCCAGTATTTCATACAAAAAATTATTGCACTTTCACTTAACCCTTGCAAACTTGTTTATTTATCCATCGATTTTAATCGTTAGTAGTGTTTTAAGCCGCAAAGCAAGCAGATATTGGCTAGTCTACACTAATTTATATATTTTGAAAGCCATTTCGAAATCTACTGCAGACTTTCCAAGAATGGTTACAGGCTAAAAAAGTTTCGATATATAAAAGATCAATTCCATACTCAGAACAGACTAACTGTCAAAAAGTTGGTTGCAGGTTTGGATTATCAAAGGCGCAAACCAAATTGGGTAAAAAGGGTTGAATTCGCATAAGGTCCAAATAAAAGGGTTGTTTAAGGAGTTTAACGAAATTTTGTGTATAGTAAACTCCGAGTTTAAGAGTAGAGTTTAGCGTTAAACTCCAAAATGGCCCATAAACTCGAGTTTGTGGCTCAATGACAACGTAATATTACTTTAAGTTAGTTGATAATCCTATTGAAAATATTTTCAAATAAAGATTTCTCAAATACCTTTCGGTTTGTACCCATACTGTAATGTTTCATTTATTTTGTCAATTTAATTGAGTTAAATTTGCAAACAGGTGACAAGCCTCTTCGGAAATATTTTTGACTGTAAGCCTTCCTCAAACTCTCTAGTTTGGAACTCACTTAGAAATATTTTCTTTATTTTATCAATTTAACTGCGTAAAAATTTTGAAATAGGCGGCAATGGTTATCCTTTTTAAACTTCGTAAATTTGATACCCGCATTGCAATAGTTCATTTATTTGATCAGTTTAGTTGAGCTTAATATTTTCAAACAAGTGGCAACCTTCCAAATTTTTGTATCGTTAATGATTCTGGTTTTACACCGAACAATTAAACAAAACAATTTTCAAATCAGTTCAGCCGTTCTCGAGTTTTGAGGCCTGTTTGTACGAGGCTGCACAACTTTTTTATATATATACTCTTTATACATAGATATAGATACATAGATGATGTCCAATGTGTGCTTTCGATTTCAATCTTTGAGCACAAAACAAAAATTCCACATTTTACATTCGTGAATGAACTTTCAGTTTCTCGATTACTTTGCCAATTCCTTTGAGTAATTGAAAAAACTAAAGTACTCTTGCAATTCCAGGTAATGGAATTGAATAAAAATCCTCTCAAAGAAATTGGAAAAAAATTACATTACTAGCACGTAATTTATTCCAATAACAATATGAAATTCCCTGCAATGGAATTAAAAAAAAAAAAAACAATTACATTTGAAATTACTTCAAGGAATTGAGAAAGTAATCGATTCCTTTGCTGTGAACTGAAGGAATCGATTCCTAATTACAATTCCTTGTAATTTGTAATTGGGAGTAATTTGATTCCTAAAGGAATCATCACGACCCTGCTCTGGTGATAACCAGACATTGAACAAACGGCCCTAATAGCTCAGTTATGCATACTTTTTGTTGCATGAGAGTTTTCACATAAGGAATCTGTTAAATGAGCTTTGCGCGTGTATGCGGTTACCCAACGCATATAGCACTTCACTTGAAGAAGTCTTTTGGGTTTTAATTTTTACGTAAAAATGGTATAGCAGTGCAAACTATTTATGCATAACTAAGCTATACGACTTTGGATATGACTTGCAAATTGTCACATTTTATTCTGGTATTGGTATTATACTTTTTTAATCTGCTAATATTTACTTATCGCTTAGTAGCAAACGCACGTGTCACTTTATCTAAAGCTACATGTTTACCGAAAATATATATCTATCTATGTGATGGTTGTGCTAATGATTTTTATAACATCAGATATAAGATAAAATATCAGAAGAGATAGAAGATGAGTGCCTATATTTGTTAGGTAAATACTGAATTATTTCTCGTCATAAAAGAAAAAAATTAAGTTGTATATACTACTCCTTACCCCTTGCAGAGTTTGACAACGAGCTGCGATTATAAATGAGTAGTTACGGTCTTTGAATTTATAGAGATAACTAAGTATGCCATTATTAAGGATGTTCTAAGTAAATTCATCTGATTTTTATGATCTTAAGGCCAATTACTGCAACGATTTATATTTTACATTGAATTTTAAAAGTACTGAAAAAAATGTAATCAAAAATTATACAATGCTACAAAAAAGAATAAAGCAGAAACGCCTGGGTATTTTCTGGCAGGCCTTTTCGGTTAAAACAAGAATCGAATTATGAAATTTGCCAAATACCTGCGAAATCTGAATTTACCGTTAAAAGCTCGGTACACTTAAAAGCCTGTAACTTAGTTGATTTAAAAAGAAACAATTTGGGCCTTTCAAATGGTGTATATGTGAATAAAGAAACCTTAACACATCTGGGTGTATTTATCCAGCAAAATATTTTTTTACTTTTTTGGCCTTTCTTAAATTTTGGTGAGGTTTTTATGCACAATTATATAAGAAACCCATACTAGTCCTAAACTGATTGTAAAATTAAATTTAATAGCAAGTAAAACGAGTGTATACTTTCAAAAATCGGATGAAAATTTTCTTTAGATCTTAAACTTTTTATGAAAATAAAATTTTTGAAAAATAACTTTACAACTCAAAAATGTTTTTTATTCGATTTTTTAGAAAAATTTTGGGCATGCATTTTTATAGCCAATTTAATTTCAGTATAATCAGGTGCAAGTTCGAAGCTGTGCACTTTCTTCGATATAAAAATTGGAGTATATTTGAACATACATAAGTATTTTGTGTGGATGAAAATGCGAAACGTCTCCATAAAAAAAAAATCTCAAAAATCAGCGCGAATTTTGAGGTAGTTCAAACGTTAACTTCAATTTCAAAAAAATCTGCTTGAAATCGTTTTGGAAAAGGCGAGTTCATCGCCCCAGTGCTTATACACACATTTGACCGCAAGGTCATTTGCCCAGACTAACTGTGCTGGGATTTTACCTTAAATTTCGGGCCAAAACAGCATAGAAAGCCAAAACTTTTCTAAACAAGGAATTTTTTCCCAATATTTCTTAGGAAAATTACCGCTATATACACCTGGCATTTCCACCCGAATAAACTAAAATGTCGAGCATTTCTTTATATGGAAGAAAATGCACAACACCGTCAGCCAAAAAGTTATTAAAAATCCAAGTGATTTTCTAGCTTATTGAAATTTGCACTTTAACCTACTAAAATTTAATGAGCTTCAAAACGGCATACCCAAAATTTTTCAAATAATTCTGAATAAAAAGTTTAAAATTTTCGGGTGCAAATGTTAAAGTTTGTNCTGGCATTTCCACCCGAATAAACTAAAATGTCGAGCATTTCTTTATATGGAAGAAAATGCACAACACCGTCAGCCAAAAAGTTATTAAAAATCCAAGTGATTTTCTAGCTTATTGAAATTTGCACTTTAACCTACTAAAATTTAATGAGCTTCAAAACGGCATACCCAAAATTTTTCAAATAATTCTGAATAAAAAGTTTAAAATTTTCGGGTGCAAATGTTAAAGTTTGTTGAATTTTCATAATTTTTGTACGAAATTTGAAATGTGGGTTTACATGGTTAAGTCCTAGACTTTAATCAGCTGACCACACGGGTATGTACATATATCTAGTGTATCGCTTCAATTTACTTACCTTAACAATGATTCTATTAGTTACTGGGCCACTATCGCCTTCCTCTAAAATGATTACTGCGCGATAACAAATGGTCAACATAAATGCTTCTTCAGCGCCAATGAATTTCACCTGTACATCGTGTATTTTGACTTTGTCATTTGTATCGCCACGCAACGAACTATCTTCCCTAAAATGTTTATTTTTCAAAATTTCTGGCAATAGAAAATTCTTTAGCCACTCGATCTCGACTTCAGCTCTAGATTCCTTCATCTCATATATATGTATATTTTTTTCATACAAGTTTTCAAATCACAAGTTACCGCTTTACTTCTATGTGTACCGTTATAATGCTTTGAATACCCGCGTACGATGCTTCGCCTGCAACTAAACTGGTTGAGGAAATCTTAAGCAATTTATTTGAAGATTTTTTAATCAAGATACGAGTAGCAACAAATGCACAATGTGTTGATATGAGAGCATACGGTCAGTGTTGCCGTTGTGGTAATTTTTTTGCGAAAACTGGTATTTTTTGTATTTCCTTTTCGAATTTGGTAACTTTGTTATTTATTCTTTGGTTTGGTAACTTTTTTGGAATTTTTATTAGTCGTTACCTCGTCCATAACTTTACTAAAGTTAGTATTGTATTACTTCTAAGTTTTAGGTTTATACATATGTATATGTAGTCTCACAAAAAGGTTCCAAATGTGTCAAATCGCTTGATTTCGGTGGCCTAATGAAATTGGCTAGCCGTGCGCACTTAGATAACGTACATGCATATATTTAAAATAAAGAGCTGAAAAGCTCTGAATGCCTAAAAAACATGATGTGGATGCCTAATTATACGATACATATGAATACCTAGCTTTTAACACGAAATAAGCTTGGTAATTTGTTGTTGATTTTTTTTCAGGGGATTTTGGTAACGAATATTGTGGCAACACTGCATATGATGGATGTGATGAGCATTGATAACACAGTCGGATACACAAATTTTATCTCAGATAAGGCTAGTTGTTTCTAATAGATTTCTGAAAATGTGAAAAATGTGGTAGGTTTTTCTTCGAGGTTTTGTTTCTCTAAAAACTATAAAAAGTATTTTAAAGAACATCTCTCACCCCTTCACATGTCGTTGAGTTTGGTCGAATATGTATCTCTTTTTCAATCGGAATTTTTTTTTTTTAATTTTCTAACTCCTACGATGTATTTTTTTTAAAAGCTATAAGCAAGAGGACAATAATGAAATTGCCTCATTTCTAGTATCTCGGTGAGCAAGAAGATATTCAAGCAAATTTGCCGAATTCACAGCTTTAATTGTAAATTACAGTTTTTTTTTAAATCACCTCCCAGTACAAATTACAGTTTTTTTTTTTAATTTGATGGCATTATTCATAAAAAATAAAGTAGGGTTTAAAGAGCTTTATAAATTGACGTTTTCGTAAATTTTTTAATTTATAAACCTTTGATAAAGCTACTTTATTTTTTATGAATTTTCCAAAAATGCCCTCGTTTTTGAGGGTTAAAGTGTTTTTTTGATTAAAAATACCGTTTCTTCTTTGGGATTCAGAGTTTTCTAAAAAAAAATCTGGAAACACTGTATTCAAGCGAACTTAACGCGAATTCTGAGCTCAGATTCGAATTCAGCGAATCTCTGTTAGAAATGGCTTCGATGGCCGAGGGTGAGAGCGCTAAAACTAGTTGCGGACCGAGGAATGCCTGGTCTGAGCCAATTCTCTTCAACAAAGGTACGCCACCCCTATAGCATTTAAAAGACACAAGTGCTTAAATCTCTCTTTGTTATAATTTGTTGATAAAACCTAAGGTAAAATCCCCCTTGCCCATGTGACTAGCATATGATAAGAAATAATTTTTCGCATTTTCTGGCGGTCGTGTAATTTTGTATAGGTCCGACACCTTATTACTCTAGCATTCGTTGAAAGATCTCCGTACTTGCTTCCGCAGCACTGTAAGGTTCTCATTCCATCAAGGTGTGCACGCTTTCTGGCCATACGTCAGAGAACAGGCCTTCGTAAGGGGCTTAGCCATTCACGCCAACACTTAGAATGGAAATTTTGTGAATTCAAATAGGAATCCAAATAAGAATATAAATCACGCCATAATTACATATCGCAGCAAATGCTTTATTATGCAAAATGGAGAATCTTTACTATGCTGGAACTTTGCTCAGATTTTGGTCTACAAATTGTACAAATATTTAATTTCTACCTAAATATACATACAGGTTTCATACATAATCGAAACCCTCAAATATATCCAGTTTATGTTCCTGAACCAAGTCATATATTTCTTTCAATTGGTGGGCTAATTCACGATCGACCTCCTCACCGCCGCGCTGCAATGTATCCTCTCGTATTTTTTCTGGGGTCGGTGGCTGTGCCGTCCTTTCTTCCAGTGTAAATGGGTTTTGATCAACTAACTGCATGAGGAAATGAGATGCGATGCTTGCGCTATAGGGAAGGTACCGCCAGTACTCTCTGAGTATGCATTCGCGGCTGCAAAGTGAAAAAAGGTAAATGTATTTACCAAAAAAAAAAAAAGGAAGATACAAATATTGTGCGTCTGCATAACTTTTCTGGTGTACCTCAAAAAATCAGGCAGTTCGTCCACCTGGGCGGTCTTTTTGAAGGCTGCCATCAGTTTTTCATAGTACTCATCCAATATTTGATCAAAGTGTGTGCGACGTACGACTGCATAGGTGGACAATGAGAGGTAGGTAGCAAAATCCAGCATTGGTGAAGAAACTCGTACGGTTTGTAGATCGAACATCAGCGAATCTATCGGCTCTTCAGTGCCCTGTATGAAAAGTGCTTAGAAATGTTAAATCTATTAGCTTTACTCTTTATTTACTTACATTCGACTCCTCATATTTGAAGGCTAAATTGTTGCGTAAATAGTCGCCATGGCACAATGTCACTAGTGGCTCTACGGGCGCAACCATCTTTCGTCCAAATTCTACATAGTTTTCGATAAGTCGTTGATAACGGCGCAAGAATTCTTTATCGATGTCTGGATAATACTTTTTTGCTACTGTTACAATACGCTCTGCGCCGAATTCCATTAACATTCCCCACTCAGACTGTATATCTTCTGTTGCAAAACGTGGTTCTCTCAGATCCTTTGTTAGGCGCTCGAACTCATCTCGACTTTTGTATCTTAAGGCGAAGCCGGTGCCATGAAGGGTACCAAGGTTACTTACTGAAAGTAAATAAAAAGTGAAAACAAGAAACATTATGTGGTTTTATAAGAGCTAAATATGTACAGTGGCGGGAAAATAAATAGGGACCCGACAAATGTGGCTATATTTTTTGTGTATTAGCAAAAACCAAAATTTCAAACTTTGGACAAAAATTAAAAAAGTTCGGCAAAAAAGCAAATTTTTTAGAAAAAGTCATTGAAATTTTTATAAATCTTGTATGAAGTTTGAAATTATGATTTGCATGGTTTTTGCTAGGTAGCGAGCTATACATTTGTAAAAAAAATTTAATCGTTGGTCTGCCACTGTATATACATTCATACATATGTATTAGGTAAATGCAGTATTCTCACCAGCCACAAGCGCATGCGCCAATGATAGATTCGCCTTCTGCTTCGCTACGCGCCAGTTGTTGACACCAAAGTCCTGTAGTACAACGGTGGCGGAATTTTTATGCAACTCTCCAAAGTAAAATCGCGGGGTATTGAAAGTGCTTGGCGCTAAGTTTTCAATTGCGGGCATGATTTTATTGTACGCTATGATTTCATTGCTGAAGAGCGATCCGAATTGTATAGCGTCAAATGTTTCCTGCGGTAAGTTTGGAGTTTTCTGCAAAAAAAAAAAAAAAACGCAGTACCTTTTTAGACAGAATTTGTACAAAATTATCGCATTACCACTGTTTTCAAACACATTTTTTTAGTGCAAAATTTTCCTTTAAAGGGCAGATGTGCATATTTTAAAAACAACTTGAAAATTAAGTGGGTAGTCTGTTTTCCCAGTGGATGAGAGAACACAAAATTTTGAAGTTCTGTCCCTTCAAGCATTTAAGTTATCTCTTCGCTTTTATGAACCAGAGCTTACTATAGGGTAAATATTATCGGGAGTTGTTATATTGATGCGAAGCCACGTCCGAGTGGGAAAATCGACATGCTGTTCTTTTTCTATTGGGGGTTTCTTAAAACACTGGAACTGTGAATGAACGAGCCACATTGACTATTCGGCAGATTTGTGGATCTTATTTAAAAGCTGGTTAATTTAATATAAACTTCTCGATCCTTCGTTGATTTTCTCTAACGTAATATTTTTTTTTTTTAACCTTCAAAGAGCGCGTTGTATTATGACTTCGTGACCTGGAACACGCTATGCTAGGTTCAACAATCGCCTGCTGGTGTTCCTACATCACCCGTACATAGGTCTAAAAGTTGGGCTCTATTCCTGTTTGAACCAAATAGTGGAATCAATAATTCTTAGCAGTGGCTGTATGTATGTATATAAATATTGACATATTAACAGGGCATATCGGGCTAAGTCTTTGGCAAAGAAAATTTGTAAGACAGTAGTCAAGAAAGCTCCTTTGGCAACTTTCATGCTGAAAAGCTACTTTGACAGAAAGCTTTTGAGCATGTTGCAAAAGGAGATGCCATATTCTTAGCGCTCTTCCAATAGTCGAAATGGCCGAGTGAGCGGTTAATTAAAATTTTATTTTTGTTTTTTTAAGTTAATTTTCTTTTAGTTTACATATGTATTATTAACTGACTTCCGAAAACGAGGTTATCAGTTCGTCGTAATATTTTTTTTATGTATGTTACCGCATAACCGATTTCCATAATTATTTTTTTTAAAGGAAAGGTGGTACCTCAGATGTGATCCCATACTAATTTGGTTTAGATCAGATCAATGGATGGATCATGAAGAAATTGACGGTACTCTTAAACTCTTAATGAAATTCGATTTTGTTTTTTTGCTTCAAAATTACTTGTTTTTTCTTTTTCTAAGTTGATTTTGTTTCTTTTTTACAAGCTTTTAATAATTTTCACCTGTGTGTATTCAAATCTTGCAGTAAATTTTTAGCCAACTTCCCGATGAGTTAATGTTTTGAAACTTCAAACTTATGCAGCTCAGAAATATGAAATAGGTATCGAGATATTTTCAAAAAGCCGGTATCCGGTGCTACACCCTTAGTTGATATGTACATTCATTGTACTTATTTATGTACATAAATATACATACAAATCTAATCAATACTGACTAGATTGTTATCATAAAATATGCAGCTTTT